TCTTCAGGTTGTCGAAGATCAGCCGGCCTGGGCGGCGCAGGTGAGGGACAGGTGAGGGGGGCAGGTGTGCCTCACCGGGCACAGGTGTGCCCAGGCGTGCCCAGGTGTGCCCAGGTGAATCCCAAGTGTGTCCAGGTGTGCCCAGGTGTGCCTCACCTGTCCCAGGTGTGTCCAGGTGTGCCCAGGTGTGCTTCACCTGTCCCAGGTGTGCCCAGGTGTGTCCCCAGGTGTGCCCAGGTGTGCCCAGGTGTGCCCAGGTGTGCTTCACCTGTCCCAGGTGTGCCCAGGTGTGCCCACGTGTGCCTCACCTGTCCCAGGTGCGCCCAGGTGTGTCCCCAGGTGTGACCAGGTGTGTCTCACCTATCCCAGGTGCCCCCAGGTGTGCCCACGTGTGCTTCACCTGTCCCAGGTGTGCCCAGGTGTCTCCCCAGGTGAGACCAGGTGTGCTTCACCTGTCCCAGGTGTGTCCAGGTGTGCCCAGGTGTGCTTCACCTGTCCCAGGTGTGCCCAGGTGTGTCCCCAGGTGTGCCCAGGTGTGTCCCCAGGTGTGCCCAGGTGTGCCTAACGTGTCCCAGGTGTGCCCAGGTGTGGCCAGGTGTGTATCACCTCTCCAAGGTGTGCCCAGGTGTGCCCAAATGTGTCCCACCTGTCCCAGGTGTGTCCCCAGGTGTGCCCAGGTGTGGCCCAGGTGTGCCCAGGTGTGCCTAACGTGTCCCAGGTGTGCCCAGGTGTGTCCCCAGCTGTGCCCAGGTGTGCCCAGGTGTCCCAAGGTGAGTTCCCAGGTGCCCCCAGGTGTGCATCACCTGTCCCAGGTGTGTCCCACCTATCCCAGGTGCCCCCAGGTGTTCCAGGTGAGCCCAGGTTTCCCCCAGGTGTGCCCAGGTGTCCCCCAGGTGTGCCCAGGTGTGGCCCAGGTGTGCCCAGGTGTGCCTAACGTGTCCCAGGTGTGCCCAGGTGTGCCCAGGTGTGTATCACCTCTCCAAGGTGTGCCCAGGTATACCCAAATGTGTCCCACCTGTCCCAGGCATGCCCAGGTGCCCCCAGGTGTGCCCAGGTGTGCCTCACATGTCCCAGGTGTGCCTCACCTGTCCCAGGTGTGCCCAGGTGTGCCTCACATGTCCCAGGTGTGTCTCACCTCTCCCAGGTGTGACCAGGTGTGCCCAGGTGTGTCCCACCTGTCCCAGGTGTGCCCAGGTGTGCCCAGGTGCGCCCAGGTGCCCCCAGGTGCGCCCAGGTGCGCCCAGGTGCCCCCAGGTGCGCCCAGGTGCGCCCAGGTGCCCCCCGGTGCCCCCAGGTGCCCCCAGGTGCCCCCAGGTGCGCCCAGGTGTGCCCAGGTGTGCCTAACATGTCCCAGCTGTGTCCAGGTGCGCCCAGGTGCGCCCAGGTGCGCCCAGGTGCGCCCACCTTGCTCGACGCCGGTGACGATGGAGGCGAAGTTGTCGTCCAGCAGGATCATGTCGGCCGCC